TTTTTCCCTTTTTCACCTTTTCCCAGCCCCAACCCCTCATAGAGGGAATCACAGCGATGTCTCCCTCCTGCATTTTGTCAGGATAAACAACCCCAACTCAAATTCAACACCAAAACTCTGCTTGGCTTGGCTGGAGATCCATCCAAACCCCTCAGGACCGTCCTTGGAGACCACACAAATGCAAAGTTTGGCTCTGGCAGTGTCACCCCAGAGCAGGCTGGCAGTGTGGCACAAGCACCCAGCAGAGCAGCCCAGGATAATTAAGCAGCAGCATTCTTATTCACGTCATCTCCTGGCTTTGGCATGGCTTTTATTGCAGTCATTACAAAGACAGATATTACTTTTGGATTGACTCACTTGATGGGTTGATCAGCACTTTATTGTAGCCTCCAGTTATAGCACTTTTTATGGCAGCCAGGAGAACTTAACCATTAGCACACTATTAGGAGGAACACTGGCAACTGATTAAGTTGCTGAAGGTCAAAGACATTTTTCTTAATTGCTCCCTCCTCCTCCTCCCCCTGCAAAGGAGCTGGAGGGAGAATTATTCCCTTTTAACAGCAAAGTCACAGAGCAGTACCTCAGATTTGCCATCAAATCCCTGGGGAAGGGCTCATTCCCAGCGCAGATCTTCTCTGAACTGCTGCAGTCTCGCTGCTGGAATGAAGGTGTGGAGATTTTCATGGATTAAAACTGGAAAAGCTTCAGGGTGATTTATTGGGTGCCACATACTGCAGATAATGGGGTCAGAATGAAAGGATGTGCCATGGGGACGTCCCTGGCTTTGGAGGGACATGGGAGAGGATTTTCCAGCCTCTGTGGGGTCTTTCCCAATTCACAGCTCGATTTTCAACCCTCTATGGGGGCTCTCCCAATTCCCAGTTGGATTTTCCTGCCTCTATGGGAGATCCCATGATTCCTAGTTGGATTTTCCAGCCTCCATGGGGCTCTCCCAGCTCCCAATTGGATTTTCCAGCCTCTGTGGGGCTCTCCCAAATCCCAGTTGGATTTTCCAGCCTCTGTAGGGGCTTTCCCAATTCCCAGTTGGATTTTCCAGCCACTGTTGGGGCTCTCCCAATTCCCAGTTGGATTTTCCAGCATCTTTGAGGGGGGTCTCCCAATTCCCAGTTGGATTTTCCAGCCTCTGTGGTGGCTCTGAGTTGTGGCTGCTGCCAGAACAGCCCCATCACAGGCAAGAGGAGATCCCAGAGTCTGGGAAAGTCTCCCAGATCAGCTTTGTGATTCTCTCCCTCAGAGCCCAGCCCTTGAGGTGTTTTCCCACCAATTCCTGGGCACAGATGCTCAGCAAGGTGTGCATACCCTGTTTTCCAGGCTGGGCTTCCAGAGGCACTCAGGAATGTGCAATTCCAGCACAGGCTGAGCCAGCGGCACCTCCCTCCCTGTCCCCTTGTTCTTCTGAGTTCTTCTAAGCCTTCTGATGCCTACATTCTTTAATGAACTTTCTCACATGCTTTTCTGTAAATAATTATTGTTTTACATCCTTTTCTGGAGGAGGAGAAATTTGATGGACTGCTGGTTTGTCCAGTGTCATTGGAGAGGTGGCACTGTCACCCTCCAATCCACTGTCACTTTTGGAAGTCTATAAATGTTGGAGTCAGAAATTAAACTGCCCTTCTCTTTACCTTGGAGGTTCCAGCATGAGCGTGAGTGTTATTTTGTGTCCTGTAGTGACAAGGGGACAGAGAGTTTCATCCAGGATGGGCTTACCTGGGGCTAATTCATTACGCAGCACAGCTAATTAATGCAATTTTAAACTGTGTGATCCCTTAACATGACTGGGACCATTTCAATTTTCTCTTTCAGCTCCTCCTGCCCACCTGAGATGAGAAACCAAAATCACCAATTTACCATTTCTGTGGTAAAATCTACCTCCAAAATCTCCATGGTCCTGGTGGTCAGAGTCTGGGGCTGCTTCTTTCAACTTCACCCTATTTTATGTCACCACATCTTCTCCCAGGCAGAACCAGTTCAACAGATATTAAAAGGGATCAAAGTCCCATCAAAAATAATAGTACTGGCCATCCTGATGAGGACAGAACTGTGCCATGGAGCAGGAGGGAAGTTTGCTGCCTGTGGACCATCAGGGAAGGGCTTTTTTTCCAGGAATTCCTGAAAAATAGGAGAGTCACATGCAGGGCACAAGGTGTCCATTTGGATGGGAATTGTCAATAGGAAAAAATCTGGATCTTACTAAAGATGCTGCATCTCTTAGAGCTGCCTTTGGAAGTTGCCTGATTTCCTGGGTTTTCCACTTAAATGAAGTTTTATTGTTCTGCTCTTTCCTGTTACCTGTGAGAATTTATCAATTACTCTCCTTCAGCTAATCAGCTTTATCAGCAGTAACTCAAGAACAAGCACAGTCCTCTCTTATCCCCTCACCCTAATTAAGATGCTCTCCAGCATCTTCTTCCCTCGGGTGTTTCCTAATTAGGGCCGGTAATTAAAGCTGTGCCCAAGGCTGTGCTCAGAGGTTGGCATCAGTGCAGCCCCACCAGGGGCTCCTGCCAGGCTCAGGTTGTCCCTCAGCCCTTGGTGGCACTGAGGGGCTTTGGAGAACACCCCAGTATCTTCACATCATCTTTTAGATGATGGCTTTTGAACTGAAATAATAATAATAATAATTATTATTATTATTATTATTATATCCCATCTAGATGGGATAATAATAGATGGAATAATCTATTGAAGACAAGGAATGTTTAAGTCAGCCAGATGGATTTTAGATGGGAAAATAATAATAATAATAATAATAATAATAATAATAATAATAATAGGATCCCTTCCCAGATCTAAAGCTTAGGCCCTGCCCTGCTGACCCCACAGCCACACCATGGGAAAACACCACCAGGGTCCCTCAGCACGAGGATCCAAACTGGTCCCATATCCACAAACCTGGGGATAATTCCCCATCCCTGCTGCCAGAGAAATCCAGGAGGGAAAAAGGTGCTGAAGTTAAGAAGTGTTTGAGTCAGCCAGAAGGATTCTAGATGGGTTCACTTGGAATGGAAATGTGCCCAGGACCATTCCCAACCTCCCTTTCCCATTTCTTTTGGCCATCTGGATTCCTTTCACCTCACCCACCACCCCCAGCCACCAAATAAGGAAGGAAACCATTGACTGTTGTCATTATTTATTACAAATTATACATTGAAAATTACTGCCTAAAAAAATCAATAGATTTAAATAAATATACAGATTTCAGGATGCTACATTTGGCAGGTGTGCAGTAAGTCACTCAGGGTGGGACATTACACACACGAGAAGATTGACAGAGTATTTTACAGCAGTAGTTTTATTTTAAATTACTCACATTAAACCATGTGCAAAATTTCCTCTGGAACAAAACCCTTTCAGGATTTTCTTTTGGTTTTTTAGAGTGACTCCAACCTTCAGAAGGTCAAAGATAAAAACAGATTCTCTGCAGCTTTGGGGACCACATGATTCATCTCATCTGCTCTTTCACCCACAATACAATCAATTGGTCTTTTTTCCCCCCTCTCTGGGGCTTAAAGCAAAATCAAGGAATTCTTTTTCTTGTCCATTGGGACTACACTTGCCACAGCCACAGGTTTTGGTCCACCACCAACTTCAAGCAGCCTCTCCAAAGCTCCTGTGCAGTCCTGGGCAGCAGAGGGACCCAGAATGGAGAGCAGCTCTGTACCTGCCCTGCCCAGGTGACAGCCCTGGCTCCTGCAGAGCTCAGTCTGCCCAGGCAAACAAAAGTGCATTTGTGACACAGCTCCAGGGCTGCCTTTGCCTGCCAGCTTGGTTTCCAGGCTCTGCATGCACTCAGTGTTTGTCCCAAATGTTTCCTTCCCTCCCCTGGACCAGCAGAGCTGGATTTAAACCTGAGCCTGACTCAGGCAGGGCTGTGCTCCCTTACAGAATAACAGGGTTTGGGTTGGAAGGGACTTTAGAGACCACCCAGCCCCTGTTCCAACCAGTCCTTCCCTCCTCATCATTCCCACCTGGCTGCCCTCCCCTGCTGGCTCTCACTGCTCATTTACTGTCCAGAACTGGCTCAGAGCTGACCCAGGCCAGGCTTTGTGTGCCCTCTCCAGCTGGGAGGAGGCTGGGATATTCAGGAGCTGCAGGTCCTCACTGAGAGCATGTCCAAGGAGCTGAGAGGGGTCCCTGACCCTCACCAGGGCTCTGCTCACCCTGCCCTGCCTCTGGGGGCTCCTGCACAAGCCCAACACCCCCTGAGCCCCAGCTGGGTTCGGTGCCATCCCTGGGGGAGCTGATCCTGCCCCTGAGCCCCAGCTGGTTTGGTGCCGCCCCTGGGGGAGCTGATCCTGCCCCTCAGCCACAGCCAGGGTGGAAATCCACCCCAGGGATTTCTCAGCCACTGAAGCCCCCTGACTGCTCAAATGGCTCCAAGGGATGATGAAATAAACTCTAAACAGCTCCCACAACAAACTGGGAGCTGTTCCACCACGGGAGCTTGTCCATGGGCACTGACAGGAGAAAATAGCGCAAAGATGGGCTGGGGCTGGAGGCAGCTCATCCCTGACTGCAGCAAGCGGCAAACCTCTCTGGATGGGCCAGGCTTGGACAGCTCCAGAACTCAGGGCAGTGATGGGCTCAGTGCTGCCTGGTCTAGCCCTGCCCAAAACCCCTGGCTGAGGGTTCCAGGGTACAGTCCCTGGTCCAGCCCTGTTCCCCTGGCTGAGCCCTTGCTGAGGCCTCCAGGGCACAGTCCAGCCAGTGCTACTCCAGCACGACCCTTGCCTGATCCAAAAAGGCACAACTCAGCTCCAGGACACTTCTCTGACTGGACGGAGAGACAGTTTTTCCCTTTGCAGCAGTCCCTTGAGCGCTGGTTCATGCAGCAGGAACACGGAGACTTCCACCTCCTTCCCTTCCACTCACGGCCTTCCCTTCAGCTCTAACAGGGAGCTGAGCACCCACAGGACAGCAGAGCTGGTGGCACCCACAGGACTCCAAATTCTTCTGGTGAGCTTGGTGTGCTTCTGTCTCTTATCTTTTCTTCTTCCAGATGTTTCTTTCCCAAGGCAGAGCTGGTGGCTGTGTGTCCCTCTGCGAGTGCTGCTGGCATTTGCTGGAGCCTGGGCTGGAGACCCTGAGGTCCCTGGGGACAGAGGGGACACCATGGTCACTCTGCAGTCCATCTGCCCCCTACTCAGCACCCCATATCATCACATTTATCTGCCCCTCACCACCATTTTCTGGGAGGCAGGAGATGAGGAAGGAGGGGCAGGAATTTCTGTCCACAGCTGCATTAAGGCAGAGTGGAGCTCCACCAAACCCAACGAGGTGTCAGAGGATTCAAGGATAACCCAAAGTGCTGCCTCCCCAAATCTGCCTTTCAGAAAGCATCCCCATTGCGTCTGATTTATTAATTAATTTGCCACCTCCCTTTAGCTCAGTTATACTCCTGGAGCTGTTTCTCCCCACAATTTCCTGATGTGGGCTTAGCAAAGCTTTGTCCTTCGGTCCAAAGTTGCTGCCCCATAAATTATCTTCCCACATGATGCCATCCCCTTCTCCCTCCTCTGTCCATCACCCACCTGCCTGTCCCACATCAGAGGAGCTCCCAAATCCCCATTCCAACCAAGAATTACATTTTGGGAAGGGCACACACAGCCCTGGCTCCTCAGATGGAGCCTTCAGTGCCACAGAGAACAGCAACAGCAAATCCTCCTCATTTAGAGGAGCCTGGAGGAGGCAGAAGGTCAGATCCAAGAGGGAGCTGCAGCCTGGGGCCACAATCACATCTTCAAGTGCTCATGAGGGATGTTCAGAGTGGGTTTAGGTGCCCTGCTCACCTGAGAGCTCTCAGCAGCCCATGATGGGGAGGCCTCATGGCACCGCTCTGCAGAGACCTCGCTGATGCTCCAGAGCTCACGGGGAGCTTCAGACTCTGGAGGTACCTAAAGAGCAAGAGGAGAAGCTTGAGCCACCCTGAACCAGGCTGCGGGGAGCTCAGGGGGAGCCTGGCCCGGTGACAGACAGCTGAATGCAAGCTTTGAAGGGTTAATTGCAGCTATTTGGGAGCTATTCAGGGCTGACTTTGACTGCTATTCCCTCGTGCCAGAGCTCCTCTATTCACAGACAAAATGAATGATTGGGGATTGTAACTATTGCCTGGCTGTGGAATTAATGACAGATATCCACAGCGACTTCACTCCCCTCAGCAGCGCGGCTGGAGCTGAGCTGACACCCCACATGCACCATAACAGAGGTGGCCACGGGACATCTGGCTGCTTGGAGCAGTCTTCTGCTCCCTCTGAGCCATGCAGGGGACACTGTTGTCCCAAAGCTCCACACCCTATTCCCAGGGTGATGCAAGCTCTCCCTTCTGAGCAGGGGACACTGCTGTCCCAAAAATCCACAGCCTCCCTTGTCCCCATTCCCAGAGCATTGCCAGCTCTCCCTTCTGAGCAGGGGACACTGCTGTCCCAAAAATCCACAGCCTCGCTTGTCCCCATTCCCAGAGCATTGCCAGCTCTCCCATCTGAGCAGGGGACACTGCTGTCCCAAAATTCCAAACCTTCATTTGTCCCCACTCCCAGGGTGCTGCCAGCTCTCCCTTCCGAGAAGGGGACACTGCTGTCCCAAAAATCCACATCTTCATTTGTCCCCACTCCCAAAGCATTGCCAGTTCTCCCTTCTGAGCAGGGGACACTGGTGCCCCAAAGCTCCACACCATCACATGTCCCATCCCCACTGGCCCACCCAGAGCTTCCCCAGCCTCCTGGCAGCAACAGCAGCAGCAGGGCTGGAGGTGACACTGCTGCCTCTCAGCTGCTGAAGGGACCCTTGCACACCCAAACTACCCGGTGACACCACCAGGGCTCTTGAGAGGGAGGAAAAAGCCACAGACAAGTCCCAGCTGCTGGCACAGAGCCATCCTCAAAGAGTCCCTGAGCCCTGCCTGTCTCTCATCCCTGAGCACCCCCAGCCTTACCCAGGCCTGCCGTGGCAGAAGGTGGCACAGATGCTGTCCCTGGAGTGTGCGCACTCGCACCTGCCCGCCGACCTCTTGCGTCGCCTTGGCGGGCTGCCCAAGCCGTAGGGAGCGGTGTGCCTGGGAAAAACAAAGGAATTCAGCTGTGCCACCAGCTTTTTATTGGCCAGCAGGTTTGTACCGGGGTCCTGGGAGGCAGCCAAGCAAGTGCCAGGATAATGAAAGACTCATCTATAGACAGAAGGTGAAAAGGTCACTGATGGATCTGAGCTTCAAACTCCAGCTCCTGTCGCACACCACCCCTCCCTGCCGGGGATGGCTGCTCTGTGCTGGCTGGGAATGGGAGCTTTCTCTCCTTGCAGCAGCTCAGGTGCCCGTGCCAGGGCTGCCACCCAGGCTGGGCAAGCTCCTAGGGGTGGCAGAGCTCCTGAGGAGCAGGGCTGGCCCAGCCCAGCAACCCCAGCATGGCTGAGGTGCCAGCACTCTCCTTCCCTGCAGGTTTAACACACAGGACACTGCACAGCCCGAGGACCCTCAGGGCCAGAGCATGTTCTGGTGCTCCCAGCCTGCTCCCAGAGCTGCCAGCACGCTCCTGCTCCATCTCTGATGGCAATCTCCTCTCCCAGAGGCTGCAGCATTGGCAGCGACTGCCAGCAACTATTCCCCGAGCAAGCAGCGAGTTGTAAATGCATGTCAGTGAGCACGATTATAACCACACCTGAGCGCGTGTGTTGTGCTCCAGTGCCATGGCCATTGGTCTGCAAGCTCTGGGAAAGCTGCTCCGGCATTCCTGAGGGCAGGACTTGGCAGCCTCGGCCCACAGTGCCAGCCCACCCCTGTCTCATTAACAATCCTGGCAGGCAGCAGCAGCCGGGGTTACGCGTGCGAGCGAGCGGGGAGAGGAACTTTTCTGACTCGCGGCCACAACATCTCGGTGTTGCTGCGGGCTTGCAGAGGTGCAAAGCTCAGGAAAAGCCGAGCCCGGGAGGAAGCAGCGCCCTGTGCTATCACCCCGACCCCCGGGGATGGACAAACACCCGAGCAGCAGCAGCAGCACGGTTTGTCCCCTTCAGGGCTGGCCGTGCACCTTGGAGCAGGTGCTGCCGGAGCACCGGGAGCCTTTCCCACCCTGTCCAGCAGAAGGTACAGCCCCTGCCCATCAGCAGAGCTCCCCCGAGCGCCGCGCTCTGCTCACCCAGGTGTGTTGACCCAGATGATGTCCAGGTGACAGAAGTAGATGCATTCCTTATCCAGCCAGCTGTTGCAGGAACATCGCTTGCTCCTCGGCCGCGCGGCCAGGTGCGACTCGGCCGGGGGATGGCCCAGACCTGCGGGAAGCAGCACAGGGAGTGAGGGATGAGCTGCCCGTCCGTGTGTCCCTCCTCAGGGTCCCGTCCGTGAGTCCCCTCTGAGTGTCCCGTCCGTGTGTCCCCTCTGAGGGTCCCCTCTAAAGGCACGGTCCGTGTGTCTCCTGTGAGGGTCCCGGTGCCGGCGGGACCCTCACAGCCCCGGGGGCTCCCGGACCGAGGGTCCCTCACCGTCTCCGCGCCCACCCCGGGCACCCCCGGCCCCCTCCCCGCTCAGGGGGTCGCCCCTCCCTTGCGGGCACCCCCAGGGCACCGAGCCCCGCTCCATCCCGGGGCTCACCGGCTTCCAGCAGGGCGCAAAGGGCGAGCGCCAGCAGCACGGCGGGGTGGCTGCCCATGACCGCGGCTCTGCGGCTTCTCCCGGGCTTTTCCTCCTTCTCCTGCCGTGCCAGCTCTTCCAGCGGAGCCGCCGCGCTGCGTCTGGAGCCGGCAGGCGCTCGGCAGGTGCTTTATAACCCGGGCCGCGTCACCCGCTCCGCCCCCGGGGAACGCCGGGCTCGCGTGGGGCGGGCGCGGACCGGACCCCCCGCTCCCCCCCGCAGGAATCCTCCCGTTCCTCTGCCAGGGGAGAAAGTGCCGGGGAGTGGGAAAAGTCACTGGCTGGGATGCGGTGAGGCTGCGGTGAAGGCAGCGAGCACAGCGGGGTCTGCAGGCACTATCCCCCCGGGAGCCCCCCGCACCTCCCCGGGCCCCAGGGATGCTTTAAACTGACAGAAACTGCGCAGGATTCAAGATAAAAATAAAGTTTTCCCTTTAAATGCCTTAATTTGACATACTTTATTTCAATAAAAATGTATATTAATAAGTTCACTTGAACTTATCTTAATTGCTGCTCAGTTGGCACAATGACAGTCTTGGTTTTCTCTCTCTCTCCTGTATTTTTTCCTCTAAATCAACTTTAAGTCTTTTGCTACCTTGAGCAATTAAAGTTTCTTGCAATAAATCTGCCCGTGCGCAGTCTAATTTCGATTCAGCATCCCTGTGGCACATTCAGCATTATCTGCACATTTTTAGGATGCGAATCATGTGGAGCACAGTCACCTCCTGGCAGGCACCAGGAGGAGTCTAAGCCCTTCACCTTGCCCGTGCTGTGTCAGGCAGAAGCAGGAAATTCCTCCGGGGAATTGTTTGATCCTGAGCGTGCCAGGGATGGATCGCAGCTTCCAGGCACCCTGAATTCCTTGGGACTACCAGATCCAGCTTGGAGTGGCAGCTCCAGGCATGGCAAATCTCAGGGAAATCCTGTGAGCGGTTTGGAAAAGCGAAATCGCCGTGTTTGCCTTTTGCAAGAGGTTCTCGCAAGCTCCTTGGGAAAGGGAGTGTATTTTATTTGTTTACCATGCGCAGTTCAGCTTTTATGGCCCTGTTGTCATGGGCAAGGTGGTGGCAATTGCAGCCACAGTGAGGTCTCATGCACAGGAACACGTGTGGGGGAAAGGAAAGGGAAATAAGGAAAAGTGCAGAGAGGGAGAGTGGGGAAAACGGGTCCTGAGACAGAGCTTCTGCTCACAGAAGTAACACAGGTGATGACTGCAGTCCTGCAGGAAAAGTCTGCAGGAATTGACATTCCCTTGGTGCAAGCAGCAGTGGGAATTCTCTCTGTGCTCATGCAAAATGCACACAGGGGGTGTATGCAGGGAAAAAACAGTGAGAGCAAAGAAACTGCACAGAGGGCATGAAGTGAGGGGGCACAGAGGCCAGAGGGGGTGAAAAATGTTTGTATGGGCATGCCATGGAAATAACAGAGCAGGGGATGTGTCAGGCAGAGAAAATCAGGAAGAGTGCAAATGATAAATTAATAAAAAAATAAAGAGAGAGCTCATAAAACAAAGCAAACAGAGGGAAGTATTTAACCTCTGTCCCAATGCAACAATTATTCTAAAGAAAACAGGGAAACACAAAAGCAGCATTACCTGTTACTGCCCATATTCCAGCTGTGCCAAGTTTCAGAGTTAAGTCAGAGCTGTGTGTGACATTCCAGATGCCAGCCCAGTGATACAATAAATCTGCCTTGGCTCCCGCTCCTGCGCTCCTCATCCTGGTCACTGCGGGCTGAAAGACGATCCCCTCGACGTGGGGAAGGCAACGCAGCCGTGTTTGCTCACCCCGAGGGAAGGCTGGCCAGTGAATGACATCATTTCTACAAAAAAGGGCGCTGTCTTTGAAGGGGTGCTGCCGGAGAGGGCCGGGACAGCGCCGTGGCGCTGTTGGTTGGGGTTGGTTTGCTGAAGGGATCAGCCCTGTCACACCCAGAGCTGTGCCTCGGGCAAGGAACCGCAGTCTCAAGCCAACCCCAGGTTTTGGGCATCTGGGTTCAAGGAATTTCCTCCACCTTTTGTGGCCGGGGCTCTGTCACCCAGCTCAGGTTTCAAGGAGCACCTGGAGCTCCACGTAGCTGTCTGCAATCTGCTGGAGGTGCCCAGATATCTGCTGCTATCTGTCATGCCAGGTGCAAAAACATCTTCACAAACCAGGCCTTTCATCCAAGGATTTCTCAATTGTTGTCTTCATTTCCCATAAATCCCACCAGGCTGAAAATGGAGCAAATGTTACACCCTCGTGCTCATCCCTGTCTTTGGAGGGGAGCCTGAATTCCTGTTTTTTCTCCAGGAAAAGCCCTCCCGTGCTGAGCAGGCACCAACCTGAGCTGCACACCTTGGGATGTTTGGCACTAGAGCTTCAGAGATCCCAAAGGATGTGGGGCTGGGATGAATGCCTCTGGTTCTTGCAGGGAACCCTGCAGAGATGAGGTTGGCACTGAAGTGGCTTTGAACTGACCCAGATCTGAGAGCTTTGTCTAGAGCTAAAGAGCTCCCATGGAAAAAATATACTTTAAAAAGCTGTTTTGCCTTTAGGGCTTGTGAGGGAGAGGGTGAAGCAGGCAGAACGTGAAGCAGCTGCTTCAGCACCCAACACATCCCACAGACCAGGGGAGACTCAGTGATCTTGGAGGTCCTTTTCAATCTCAGTGATTCCTTGGTTCAGTGATTATTCTGGTGTCTGTGGTAGTTTCAAGAGGATCTGCTTGGTTTAGGTTGAATCATGGAGCATCCTGAGCTGAAGGAACATCAAGGATCATCCAGCCTAGCTCTTGGCCCTGCTCAGACCCCCAACCAACCCCACCCTGGCCATCCCTGCAGCGCTGCCCAAATTTCTCCCCCATCCTTCATCTCCCCCATCCCTCACTCTCACACAATCATGGAATGTGCTGAGCTGGAAGGGACCCACAGGGATGATCAATCCCAAAGCCAAACCCTGCCCAGAGCCCCCAGCCAGCCCAGCCTGGGCATCCCTGGAGCTCTGGCAGCCTCGGGGCCGTGCCCATTGCCTGGGCAGCCTGGGCAGTGCCAGCACCCTCTGGGGGAAGAACCTTGCCCTGATCTCCAGCCTGAGCTGCCCTGGCCCAGCCCCAGCCGTGCCCTGGCTGCTGTCCCTGTCCCAGAGCAGAGATGGGAGCTGCCCCTCGGGAGGAGCTGCAGATCCCTGAGCTCTGCCCTCAGTGTGCCCTGCTCCAGCTGCACACACCAAGAGCCCTCAGCAGCACCTCCTGTGGCCCCTCCAGATCCTTCACCATCATTGGACACCCTCAAACACCTTTACATCTCACATTTTGGTGCCCCAAACCCACTGATGTTGGATCCCCTCGTACTGTGGGTTGGGGGATCAGCCCCAGTGGGATCTGTGGCTCTCCTTGACCCTGAGAGCACGGAGAACCTGCACAGCTCCTGCCACGGTCCTCGTTGTTCCCCTGATAAGGATCAGGAACCAGCTTCCCAAGGCCAACCCTCCTGGCACTTTCACCACACTAAAATCACAAAGAAAAACAACAGGGCTGGCGGAGGGCCGGGCCATGCTGCACAAACACGGCTCCCAAAGAAGGAACAAAGGCGTGCACGGGGTCCTGAACGCCAAAGATGGGCTCTGCCTCCTGCAGTTATTTTTTCCCTTTTGTTTCTGCCTGCGGGAGCACATTGTTCATGTCACTATGAGGAGTTCCAGGCAGACATGACGAAAGGGACAAAGCAGCCCAGGACAGGAGACATCCCGTGCGGGCCTGGCACTGTTTGGAAACAAGGAGTGAGCAAACAGGAAAGGCCTTTAACCATTGAGCACTCGGGATCCCAGCGTGCTCTTGGCAGCAGCAGGAACAATGGGGTGATGTCACAAGCCAGAATTCCCCATGGTGGATGGCAGCCGAGCAAATAATCAGCATTCTTGTCCTGGGACATGAGCAGCATTTTTCCAGCGTTGTTCATCCCCCACGGAGCCGCTGTGAGGAAGTGAAGGAAAGAGACATTGTCAAGTGGGGCTTCCTTTGGGATTTTGGCTGCCCCTCTGCCCTCCCCACTTCAGCACATCAGCTGTAATTAATAAATCCCAGCTTTCTGCTGATGGGGAGGAGCTCAGCGAGGCACAGGGAGGCTGAAGGGGATGTTTCACACAGGGAGAAAGGGTGAGCACACGGTCTGGATACTTGGAAGGCAAAGGGGCAGAGTTTCCTCAGCTCTGTGGGGCTGTGAGCTGACACTGAGTGAATCTGAAGTGTTGCCCACGGGATTCCAAAGGGGCTGAGGATGGCTCAGGAGAGAATCCTGCACAAACAGTGGTGGGATTTCAACAAATTTTTAAAAATAATTTCAACTATTTTTTTCAAAATTTTTTTTCAACAATTTTACTATAATTAGTTTTTAAGGATACTAAACAACATGAGCAACACAAAGGCATCCTCCAGATCACAGTTTCTCCTTATTTTGGCTTCAAGTCAGCTCTGTGGAGTATGTCTTGAAGTTCATTTGCAACATCCAGGCCTCTCCTGAGGCAGCTCTTGAGTTCCCTTTTGGCTCCTTTCTGTCAGTGGGGACTGGTGTCATGGGAGGACTAGGAGAGCTGGGCAGCCCTCAGGGCTTTGTTCTTGGGCTGTTACTGAAAATCCAGACTCACCTCTCCAAGATCTGCTCTTCAAAGACCCAGCTGGTTTCCCCACAGCCACCCTGGGCTGTCCCTTCTGTGTTGTGCCAGGGGACGTGGCACTTGTTGCTGGAGCTGGATGTGGGATTTCAGCAGCAAAAGGGACCTCAGTGAGTCCCAGACAGTCCTGATGTTGAAGATTGCAAAGCAGGATGTTTTCTATCACCATCTGTATGGCAGATTATCTTTGTCAAGTGGGCAGTTTGCCTTATCTCTCTCTTTGAGTGACCATACCCACTCCTCCCTCCAGGGAGACACCTGCTGATAACAGCTATTTAATTGTCCCTGCATGGCTGATAAGAACTACAGCATCCCATTGGGAGATGGGAGCCCAGAGGGAGGAGCCAAGCATTCCTACCCAGATAGAATCTGGAGATTCTGGAACACC